AAAACTTTTCTATGACTTCTTGGCATTCCTGAGAGAGAAGGAAAAATAAGCAACTTGGAAAATGTTTGAGGGAATAATTTAGGAAAATTTTCCTAATCTTTCTAGAGAGATCAACACCCAGATATAAGTAGTTCAGAGGACATTTGCAAGATACTAAGACATGTACTCATTAGACTATTTAAGCTCAATATATAAAACAAACAAACAAAAAAACCTCAAAGGCAGCTACAGAAAATAGCCAAATTACCTATAAATGAAATCCAATCAGACTAACAGCAGACTTCTTACAGAAACTTTACAAGCCAGAAGAGACTGAGGTCCTCTTTTTAGCCTTCTTAAAAAAAAAAAATCCCATCCAAGAATTTTATATCCTGCTAAACAAGGAAGGAGAAATAAAGTCTTTTCCAAATAAGTAAATGCTAAAGGAATTCATCATCACCAGACCAGACCTACAAGAAATGCTCAAAGGAGTTTTAAACATGGAAAAAAAAGAACAATACTTGCTACCATAAAAGCACATGTAAGTACAAAGTTCACATATCCTATAAAATAATTACATAACTGAGACTGTAAAGCAACTCATTAACAACACTCTAATGGGAATAAAACCTCACATATAAATATTAACCTTCAACATAAACAGTCTAAATGTTCCACTTGAAATACACAGATTGGCAAATTGGATTAATAAAACAAGACGAAACCATCTACTGACTTTGAGAGACCCATCCAATGTGTAATGACACCATAGGTTCAAAGTAAAAGAATGGTGAAAGATATACCATGCAAATAGAAAATGAAAAAGAACAGGGGTTGATATTCTTGCATCAGTTAAAACATACTTTAAACCAGCACCATAAAGAAAGACAAAGAAGGGTATTATGTAATAATAAACACTTCAATTCAACAAGACTTAACTATATAACTACTATTATATAATGATAAAGGCTTCAATTCAACAAGAAGATTTAAAAATCAGATTTAACTGTGCCCAACACTGCAGCACCCAAATTTATAAAACAAATATTATGAGACCTAAGAAAAGTGATAGACAGCTATACCATAGTAGTTGGGTGGCCAACATCCCACTGACAGGACTAGATGGATCATGGAGGCTGAAAAATAATAAAGAAACTCTGGACTTAAATTGGACTCTTGACCAAATGAAACTAATAGACATCTACAGACATTCCACTCAACAACTGCAGAATATACATTTTTTTCTCATCTGTTCATAGAACATTCTCTAAAATTGATCATATGCTTTATCATGAAACAAGTTTCAATAATTTGTTTAAAAATAAAATTATATCAAACTTATATTTGGACCACAATGGAATAAAATTAGAAATCCGTATCAAAAGGAACTTGCAAAACCACACAAATACATGGAAACCAAACAGCTTGCTCCTGGTTGACTTTTGAGTAAACAATAACAAAAACACAGAAATAAAAACTTCTTTTGAAACAAAAGAAAACACAGTCACAACATACCAAAACCTCTAGGATATAGAAAAAGTAGTATTAGGGGGAAAGTTTATAGTACTGAATGCTTACATTAGGAAGATAGAGATCAAATTAACCTGCTAAGGTTTTACCTAAATGAACTAGAAAAACAAGAACAAACCAAACTCAAAGCTAGCAGAAGAAAAGAAATAACAAAGATCAGAGAAGAACTAAAGGAAAATGAGATTTAAAAAACCCCCTAAAACCATACAAAGGATCAGTGAGACAAAAAGTGGGTTTTTTGAAAGGACAAACAAAAGTGATAGACCACTTGCTAGATTAATCAAGAAAAACAGAGAGAAGTTTCCAGATAAGCACAATCAGAAATGGTAAAGTTGACATTACAACCATTAGCACGGAAATACAAAAGATCCTCAGAGACTATTATGAACACCTCTATGTACACAAACTAGAAAATCTAGAGCAAACAGAAAAATTCCTGGAAACATACAACTCCCAGAGATCGAACCAGGAAGAAATTGAAATTCTGAACATACCATTAATGTGTTATAAAATTGAATGAGTAATTAAAAAAATCTACCAACCCCCTAGACAAAAAAAATCCCAGGACTAGAGGATTTACAGGCCAGCCAAATTCTGCCAGATGTACAAAGAAGAGTTGCTACCAATATTACTGAAACCATTCCAAAAAATTGAGGAGGAAGGAGGCCTCTCTAACCATGCTATGAAGCCAGTATCATGCTGACACCAAAATCTGTCAAGGACACAATAAAAAATAAAACAACAAGTCAATATCTATGATAAACATAGATTCAAAAATTCTCAACAAAACACTAGCAAACAGAATCCAGTAATATATCAAAAAGATAATTCATCAGGATCAAATGGCCTTATTTCAGGGATGCAAGGATGGTTCAACATATGCAAGTCAATAAATGTGATTCACTACATAAACAGAATTAAAAACAAAAACCATATGATCATTTCAGTAGATGAAGAAAAAGCATCAGTAAAATCCAACATCCTTAATAATAAAAACCCTAAAAATAGGCATTGAAGGAACATACCTCAAAATAATAAGAGCCATACATGACAAACCCACAGCCAACATCATACTGAATGGGGAAAAGTTGAAAGCATTTCCCTTAAGAACTGGAACAAAACAAGGATATCCACTATTACCACCCCTATTCAACATAGTACTGAAAGTCTTTAGCTACAGCAATCAGGCAAGAGAAATTAATAGTAGTCATCCAAATTGCAAAAGGAGAAGTCCAATTATATCTGTTTGCTGTTAATATGATTCTACAACTAGAAAACACTAAAGTTTCATCTAAAAGATTCTATACCTAGAACACCCTAAAGATTCCTCCTAGGCCTGACAAGTGTCTTCAGTAAAGTTTCAGGATACAAAATGAATACATCAAAATCAGTGGCATTCTTATAAACCAACAACACTTAAGCTGAGAACCAAATCAAGAACTCAATCCCATTAACAATTACCACACACACACACAAAATTACCTGGAAATACATTTAACAAAGAAGGTGAAAAACCTCTATAAGGAGAACAAAACAGTTTGATAACAGAAATCATAGATGACATGCACAAATGAAAAAGCATTTCATGCTCATGGATAGGAAGAATCAATATAATCAAAATGACTTTACTTCCCAAAGCAATCCACATATTCAATTCCTATCAAATTACCAATGTAAGTTTTTCACAGAATTAGAAAAAGCAATTTTAAAATTTATGTGGAACCAAAACAGAGCCTGAATAGCCAAAGCAATTCTAAGCAAAAAGAATAAAGCTGGAGGCATCACATTACCTGACTTCCAACTACTCTACAGGTACTGGTATTCTATGAGTACCAAAACAGCATGGTACTAGTACAAAAATGGAAACACAGATTTGTAAAAAAAGAATAAAGAATAAAGAACTCAGAAATAAAGGTACACACCTGCAACAAACTAATGTTCAACAAATTCTACAAAAATAAACAATGAGGAAAAGATTTCCTATTTATTATAAAAAATGGTGCTGGGAAAATTGGCTAGCCATGTGCAAAAAAATTAAATTGGACCTCTATCCCTTACCATACACTGAAATTAACTCAAGATTAATTAAAGACTTAAATGTAAGACCTTAAGCTATAAAAATCCTAAAAGAAAACATAGGAAAAACTCTTCTGGAAATTTGCTTAGGCAAAGAATTTATGACTGAGACCTGAAAAGCAAATGCATCAAAACCAAAAATAGATAAATCAGTTTTAAAGAGTTTCTGCACAGCAAAAGAATCAATCAATATCATAAACAGACAACCTACAGAATGGGAGAAAATATTTTTAAGCCATGTATTCATCAAAGGACTAATATCGGCCGGGCACGGTGGCTCA